GAAGCCAGCTTTCAGGATGCATATTTCCAAACCTCCATATTCAGCTCCTCTGCCTACCACATCCACCCCCAAGCATTAAGAGAGGTCCACTGTAATCAGCTAGTTTCCTGCAGAGAGAACATATGTATTGTGTGTAGATGGGGATCTGGGGAAGCAGCAGGGTAGAAAATATCCAACTTCTGTCTCTAGTAGTGAAAGTATGGAAAAATAAGCTAATAGCTCCAGACAGGGGCAAGAGATACCTGCAGAAGCAGGACTACACCAGGTGATATTCTGGACATGTGAGGGGGAAGTGTTCTTTTAGCTGTAGCAGGGACTGGTTGGTACTAATGGTGTTGCATTCCCTAGGAGTAGGGGTGGCATATTCTAAGGTACACAACACAGTCCCACATATCCTAAAAAGTTGTCACACCTTGACAGACATGAATGTGGGTCGAAGTACTGTTTATAAATATCTGAGCTTACAAAGCAACTCCATGTAACATGAGAACAATAACCCCTTGGATGTAGACCCTGCTCCCCAAAAGTGTTTAAAGGAAAATGAGGCCAGCTCTGACCATGCACTGTTTACATGGTGTAGTAACAAAACCAGAAGAAAAACAAGCAGCTTATCATTATAAATAAGATTTGCAGGTTTTTAAAAAGGAAAGATCTATCTTTACAGTTCAGAAACTATTTACATGACTTCCAGAAATGTGGTCACAACAGGTTTGGGGGAATTAAAAATAAAATTTTGAAACAATATTTGTTTGGCTGTCCCAGGTCTTAGTTGCAGCACATGGAATCTTTGTTGTGGCACATGGGACCCTTAGTTGTGGCATGTAACTCTTAGTTGCAGTGTGTGGGATCTAGTTTCTGACCAGGAATTGAACCCAGGCCCCTTGCAATGGGAGTATGGAGTCTTAGCCACTGGACCACAAGGGAAGTCCCCAAAATAAAAATTTTGAACATGTTTTTTGAAGTAAGGGCAAGATAGGGAAAACGGTGAATATCTTTATAACCTCCTTAGAGGTTCGTTACATACGAAAGAATTATTTTGTTACTTCTCCACTCAAGGACACATAAAAGATATCTCCTCCCAGCTAGGGGTTCTCCTGTGCTGTGTAAGGTCTCGCAGGTTTAACAGGTGCTACAGTTAGCAGCAGAGAGATAGTATCGACTTGTCTCTGTTATAGTAGGACTTTACAGTAAATGCGATGTGTGGATAATGGAATGCAGTAGTGCAAATCACTCCACAGTTTTGTGAGGGAAGAAAGGGCCCTGATGACATAGCTAAAATAGGTTAGCAACTTACAGTGGCTTTGTTTTCCTATCTCTAGGGTGGATTCATGGCCACTGACAAATGCCCACTCTCTGTGGCCATCCCGAAAATAGCTCAATGACCACAGGTTGCCAGGCAGCTGTATTCTGATGTCATTGCCCCAAGTGCCATTGCCAGAAGCCAATGTGAAACAACCACCAGCTCCTAATTCCAGCAGTTTCCAGTTAGCCATGGCATTTAAGCAGCTGATAAAGTAGTCAAAAAGAGTTGGGTTCATTTCTCTTGAGTGATTTTTAAAATGCTTATTTTGATAAGAAAATGACCTTTAAAAAATGATGTTCATCATAAAAAACAGATCCCTGCATCTTGAGCAGTTTTTTTAACCTTAAATATAATATGTAAACATATGGTTTATGTTGGTCAAACTTAAACACCTTTCTTTAAAATCATACTCTGGCATGTCAAAGGACAGAAAAAGTGATTGTGGACAAGTCGAGTGTGTGAGTAGGTAATTTTTATTGTCGTATTGGGGGAAGGTGGTAAAATGTGCTCTTCAGATTAATGTAGGAAAGCAAAATAAAAAATTTTATCCTGAAGAAAAAGTTCAAGACAGAGCATTGTCTTCATCTTCCCCTCTTTTGTATTGGACTCTTTGTTTTTAGGAACATAGAACTCTGGGTAGTGAAAAGCTATGTTCCCACAGCAAACACAGTCACTTAGTGTATGTGAATATCATTGGAATGCCAAACTTGTTTTTTAAATATTATAAATGTAGAGTGGTGTAGAGTTATTTGGATACCAGTAAAGTGAACATGGGAGAATTACATACCCACTTAGGTTACAGATCTGAAGAATTGATGCTTTTGAACTATGGTGTTGGAGAAGACTCTTGCGAGTTCCTTGGACTGCAAAGAGATCCAACCAGTCCATCCTAAAGGAAATCAGTCCTGAATGTTCATTGGAAGGACTGATGACTAAAGCTGAAACTCCAATACTTGGGCCACCTGATGAGAAGAACTGACTCATTTGAAAAGACCCTGATGCTGGGAAAGATTGAAGGCAGGAGGAGAAGGGGACAACAGAGGATGAGATGGTTGGATGGTGTCAGCGACCCAATGGACATAAGTTGGAGTAAACTCCGGGAGTTGGTGATGGACATAGAGGCCTGGCGCGCTGCAGTCCATGGAGTCGCAAAGAGTCAGACACAACTGAGTGACTGAACTGAACTGAACTGAAAGTGAATATGGGAAAATACCCATAGTCAGATACCCACTGAGGTTACAGATCTGAAAATCTCAGGTTACCCGCCATATTTGTTGGCTTAACACCAGTAGGCTCCTTCATCTGGTGACCACCCTGTAATCAAAGCTTCCATTTCCTTCTCATAGTTAATATTCAGAAGGAACAACTTCTGAAACATAACTACCTTTGGACATCTTTATTATCTTCCAAGTGTGCCTGCATCGTAGACTATATTTTCAGTTGCCTAGTACCTAAAATCCTTACTGTGCTTTTGTATCTGATCCATATTGCCAAGTATCACAAATTAACAATATTTTGTAATATTTTCTAGCATTGTTTTTAAATTACCTGTTAATATGCTACTAGGATGAATTCTGTGAAGTTTTAAATGAACCATTTGGCGGAAGTAATGTTAATAATACGCACTTACTGTGTTAGCTTTAATATTACTGGATTTCTTGCCACTAGTCCTCTTCCCAGTTATTAGCAATGTTTAAAATGCTATTCTTTTAGATTTGAAGTTATACCATGTGACAAGGGTACAACTTCCTTCCTGTACCAGATTTGCATCCAACACACTGTCCACTCTTGATGGGAGGCATCGTTGATCAAATAGCATATTGCGTCATAAGCACAGACTTCCCTCTGTGGTACAGCCTGAAGCCCTCTTTGTGGCATAATCAAAGAGACTAGCCTCTCTGATTTTAAACTCCTTAGAGCAGCCAACTCCTCCTTCTAGCTGTGGATTTGAACGTGCCCCCCACCTGTCGCTCCTGCCAGCTCTTTCTCCCCATGCTGGCCCACAGTCCCTTGGTCCACTGACCAGCAGCCCCTCCCTTGAGGAGGCAGACTGGCTTCTTGGTCCTGGTCTTTGCACAAGCAATTTCAAATACTTAATGAAGTAAGTCATTTTCACTGCCCTAAAGAAACTAAAAGAATGAACCTTACATTTTCCATAAGGGAGAATTCCTCTTATTTGTAAAATATCTTGGCCAAAAATTGTTCTGAAGTCATGGACCCATTTTCTGGTCTGTAAATGAGCTTCCCATTACTCTTCAGAATCAGAATTAATGAGAGCCCTTCCATTCTCAAGGACTTTTTGTTGTTGTTGTTAGGAGGAATATTTATTATGAATTTGCAGACATCTCTCGAAGGACTTTTGGGACACACTTGAACTGTAAAGTGTTAGCATATTTGGGATTCCTAAAGTACCATAAAAGCTTAGTGTTATTTATATCTTCTTACATAAAAAATGTACACACACATTAATACCACTTTGAATGGTATATCTCTGCTGTTAACAGTAGTCTGGTACTTGTGATGATAAAATCAAAATGAAACCACATTTGGAAGTGGCTTAAGATTGGAACACCTTTTTTTTCTGGGTCAAGGTATTAATTAAGGTAACACCTTGGCAAGTGGTAACTCCATGGCACATGGGATTTAACTCAGTTTGTTGACAAAGAATGTCTTTGAATAATACTTCTTCTGTTGCGGCTACTCACTGTGTTTGATATAATGTAAACCCTGCTACCAAAATGCAATATCCTGTTCTTGTGTGATACAGTGTCTGTGCATGTGTATGTGTGTATGTAGCTTCATGAACTTTGTACTTTATCATACCCTTTGAGAGAAACATCATCAATACTTCTGGAAACCATGATAATTTGTTATTTATTTGCTGTCCAGAGTTGGTAATCCTGTATACTATTAGTCAGTATCCTACCTCACACACACAGAGAGTGACTTGTGACCAATTCATAGTAGAATAGGTTTTCCGATAACACATGCTACACCCCACATAACAGTTATAAAGTCTTGGTTTTTTTCTCCCTGAAAATTCAAGACTGGGAGGAAAAAAAGCTAAGAGACTTTATGTGTGTATGTATATTTATATAAGAATATATATGCATATACATGCACTTGGTTTCCATCTAGTTTCCAACTAGAAAACCACTTTCCCAGGTCTCAGAAATATATGCCAGAGACACATATTTAAATGAGAGATACAAAGGCTTATTTAAATTATATTTTTTGTTGTGTGTATGTTTGAGCAAAATGATTGTCTTGTGTAATTGATAGTGTACATATTATTGGCTGTCACCAGTTTAGTAAGTTAGCAAGGTGACATAATGAAAGCAATTCTGCTAGAATTACTTTGATTGAATTGCAACTTTTTGGCGTTCTGCTATGTATTTTTGACCTGTGCCATAGTACATATAATTCTTTCTCAGACTTCATCAGACCTCCCATGCTGTTAAGTGAATGGGTGGAATGGTAGCATGCAAGCAGTTCATTCACCCCTAAAGAAAACACTCCCGGGTCACAACATATAACCTATATTATAACCACAGCTGCAGATGGGATTCTAGAAAGTCCTGAACATCAAGTTCACATAGCTTCTTAAAATTCCCCTACTTCATAACTCACAAAATTTCAGTAAGAGAAAGATTCTGATGTAATTAATAATCTGTTTCTCTCCCTCCCCCCAATTAAGGTCAAAAAATATTTTGAACTTGAACCACTTGCACGTGGAAAACGCTGGATTCTGCAGCCCTGCTCGCTGGATGACATGGAGGCACTGAAAGACAGCTTCTCTCAGCTGATAAGTTTGTTAGAAGAAAAAGACCATGAAGCTGTAAGAATGTGAAATCTGGTGAAGAAAATGGGTTCCCACAAGGCCTTGAACCTATCATGTTAGTTTCTCCCTTTAATTTTATTTTAGTATCTGGACTGTAATGGCTTTAGTATCTGTTTTCTTCCAGTTATCTCAAACTCTCATCTCTCTATTAAAGTAAATATTCTGTAAATCAGGTGACTTATCATCGGCATTACCGTCAAGTACACACTACTGAGAGAGAATTTATTCTCTGTTTACCACTAATTATCTTCACCTCATGTCTCTTCCTTCTGTTGTTCTAAGCGGCTCTTCTCTGTGTTAATATGGATGGAATTTGTGGCCCATAGAAATCAAATCCCTTATAGAGGACTCAGGGAGACTGAGAACCTTGGCTCATTGACCCTGGGTTTGGGGTGGAATGTTGTGTGACTGGCATTCCCCATAATATGTGTATCATTTTCAAAATCTGTTTGTGGTTTTATCTTAAGTTTTTTGTATACTGGCCTTACAGCATATGGGAAAAAATAAGCTTCAGTTAATCACCTTATCAGAAAGGAATATCCTTGCCATAGTAAAATTGACTTCAAAGAACTTAAAGACAAGATGCCTAATTTTTTTTAATTACATCTAAAGTCTCCCTCAGTCTGCTCTTTGCTAAGAGCAAAGACATTATTTCCATTTTTGAGAAAAGTTAGAGGAAATTTAGGCACAGTGTATGCATCACTGTTCATCAAGTCCTCAAATATTTTTTTAATGGAAAAATTACCCAACATTAAGTCAAGCTGCAGTGTAATATGTTTCTGAAAACCTTTTTCTAAAAATCTTATGTCTGATTGATATAGAGATAGTAATTTTTAAAATAATAGACAAAACTTTTTAAAAACAGCCAAATGAAGTATAGTTTATACTGGCTAAGGCTTAAGTTGGCATGGATTTGACAAAGATAATAAAGGCAGAATCATCTGTATAGTCATTCAGTAAGTGCTAATGTAGTTTAATGGAGTCTGTCAATGTCTCCATCCAGTAATTAAAGGTCTATCAGTATTTCTATTATAAACCTCTATTTTCAGGGGTTTCAGTATGCCCTTAATAATGTACTAGGGCTGCAGCAAATAAATAATTTTAAGGCCTAGATTCAGTCTTTGGAACTGTTTTTTTGTTTTTGTTTTTTGCATTTAGTTTAAATGATAAAATTATACAGAGATAAATGTACAGTTTTACTAAGTTTTAGCACCTTTGACTTTTTCTAAATCAGGAATAATCTATGGATATGGAGGTTAATGGATAGAATACCCTTTGGCACATTTTGTAGATTTTTGACTATTTAAACTACAAAGTGAACAAATGAGAAAAAACTGCTTCTTTCACCTGAGCAATAAAAACATGTTTGGAATTTTTTTTCCATTGACTGATTCCCAAATACCACAGACTCGCATTCTATTACAAGGTGATGTAATACCTTGTAATTCTCCAGAAGATACATGTCATTCAGATACAGTTTTTGTGGTTTGATCTTGTGGGTGAATTTTAAGGAAATCATTACCTTTGAAATATCGAACACTTCTTTTAAGCTTTCTTTTTTTTTTTAATGAAATGGATCCAAAAAGATTCATATTCAGATTTGGTCTGCAGCATCCTGGAATATTTTTAAAATGTAACCCATGAGCAGCACAAAACTTTTATTCCGATGACCACTTGCACAATTCCTGCTTTTATTTTGTCCTGTTGTGCTCATCTTCTATGAAAAATAAATGATTATTAGGCATTGCTTTTTCTGCAAGTTCATTAAATGTACAATGTTGTCTTTTTAAGATACCGTAGCTGAGTGCTCCTAAGCCATCTGTTAAATGACTTCCCGTTGTCTGTGTGTGTGTTCATGTGTGCGCCAGGGATGGGCTTCTTCTCAGACCCACGACTGTCTGCAGTGTCTCAGCCGTCAGAATGAAAACATTATCAATCAGTACCCAACAACAGCTGTTTTTGACAAGTTTCTGTCTGACGCCTAATGCTTTACAACTGTCAATAAGGCTCCTTCTTTGTCTAGCAGTTCAGAGCTCGCTGTCTTGCTGCTTCCATGCGGCATCCTGTCCTTGTAACCCTAGAATTTGCTGTGTTTGGGAAATCCACTTGGGAGGGGGGGCGGCCTGGACGGACATGGGTGGGTGGGAGGGTGGTGTGCGTGGTCTGTCATATTCCTACTTTCATGTAAAGTGCCACAGGTGTCTTAGTTTGCATATTCAAATATTATATAGGAAAAACAGTCTGTTATGTATTTCTTCACTTAGCTTCTTGTTATATTTATGGAAGTTACCAGTTTTGTACCTTCTTAGCTCAAGCAGTTGCCTTTTTGTAATGGCAATTAATTTATATGACAGAACTTTGTATCTCCTGTAGTTTACAGTATCAGTTGCTAACTAACTGCCATATTGCCCTGTCTTTCTATTAAAAAATTCTGTATCTATAATTAAAGGTTAACAGATTCATGTGGACAATTGCCAGGCAAGAAGAACTCGTTTTGTCCGTGATTTATATGATTTCCACTATCTTCAAGTGAAAATAAACGCTGAGTAGAATTGATGTTTTCAGACTGACTCCTTCCAACTTTAGCATTTGGGAGTCCCAGATTTCTGTTTACATTTGTGTTGCCTGTTTAAGTCTTCAAAATAAGTTCTACTGCTCTTGGGTCAAAACAAATGATTAATTCACGTTGCCTTTGAAGCCATTGTGAAAACCTTAAGAGACAAAAAAGAAAGAAAAAAAAAAGCACAAGGGTCTTTTCCAGTTGGTTTGTCCTCAGCAGCAATTTACTTTCATTGGAGCCATTCCTTCAGAATGAGTGAGCACAATCGAGACGTTAATGTCAGATGTCATCCTTCAATCAAAGCATCATTTTATAATATTTGCTGTAAAAGCAGCTTTCTAAGAGTAGCTGTTTGGTGCAGTGAACTTTGTCCTTTAAGGTGGATTGATGCCCCAAAGAAGTAAGTAAATATTTTTAAGTGACTCAAGAGGAAATGCTGTGTATTTACAGGTCTATCCTAAGGATAAGAGTATTCTGTAAAAGAAAAAGAAAAAAAATAGATGGACGAAGAAGCTAAAGAAAAAGGGGAGGGGAAGAATACATGATAGAAAATGAAAAATACAATCCCCAACTCTTGTTTGCTCCCAACATTATCCTGACAAATTATTCAACTACACAGAAAGCCTGCAACACCTCATGTCTAGGCTGGGAACCAACCAGCCTTCCTAGTTTTGTTTCCAAGGTAGGCAATTAGCATTTACCAAATTTCTAAGCACCTCAGACATATCCAGGCAAATGTGGACAAAACTGTAAGATTTGCAGCCAATGGGGTTTTCCTAAAAAAGTGCAAATGGAATATTCAGACTCCAGTGGAAATCTAATATTCATGCCTGGCTTTATCCTCTTTATAATTTTAGAGTGCATTTTCATTAACCTCCTGACCTAATGGTGCAAACAGAAAGAAAAAGATATGTGGAGGGGGCGGGAAGTGGGAGTTCCCCTTGGGGATCCCTCCTTTTCAATGCATTTGTAGGGAAGGATAAAACTTTAGGAGAATGTAGATTCCCTGCCATCTTTTTCCCAGCCTGGGTCCTAGAGATCTGAAGTTCATGCTGTGAAATGCATTATCACATCATGTTGGGAATTCCTGGATCCCAAGGGTTCACAACTTTTGGTCCCTACTGAGTCAGCATGATTAAATGATTTGCATCTCAGGGTTAAATGTTTTCCAGCTTGGATGCACGGAGTGACTGATGAGCCCATTTTGGCACCCTGCCCCACCCCCCTTGGACTGATTTAGGAACATGAAAAGGATCCCTGTGAGACCCAGAAGCCTTAGATGGGATATCAGTTTCCCCTCCCCTTTTCCCATATTCTTTGAATGAAAAACTCTCCTTCCACCTACTGTTTCCTAAGAGCTGGAACTTCTTACTTCCCATCCAGGGCATTCATCTGTTTGTGACAACCTCTTCATGAAGTGATGTTCTGTGAAAACCAGTGCAAAAGATTTAAAAGGTACCGAGAAGAATCTCTCCAATATACATCCTTCTTTCCTTACAAAAGAGGGTGAAGTAAAAAGTGCATGATTCTTCTATCACATTTTCTGTACATTTCCGTCTCTGCTCTGAGGATGGCTCTGATCATTGGATCCTGCGTTAGAAAGGCCACCAACGATGTTCTTAGGCTTATAGCTCACCCCAACATTTTAATCCTCTGTTCAAGTCCTCAAATTGCAGGGAGTTTCCATGGGATATGTAATTTGAATAATCATTTTTCAGAAGGAAATAGTTTCAGGCTTTGTGGTTTAAAGCAGCTTCACTTACCATATATACTTTGTGAGGTCACTGGTGCCAGTTTGGAGAATAAGGAAAAGGACTCCTCGATTTCATGCCTTGCTGGGACAAGCCTGGCTTATGACCCAGTCTGACTCCTGACCCCATAGTGCTTCAGTGCACGTCTCTATAGCTGTGACCGACTTGGGCATGGCCATCAAGTGGCACTTTAAAAAAAATGATCCTCTGGGGGGAAAAGTGATCTGCAAACTACCAAAGAATGATGAATTCTTCTTTTCCCTTCTTCCTTTATTGTTCCAAAACCTCTCCCTCTCATTCTGATGTTCTCAAATTACTCTACAGAGATAGTTCATCCCGGATCTTTTTTAGCAGCAACTTTACAGCCGTGAAGGTGAGTTGACAGTATTGTACCCAGAGAGGGAAACCTGGCTCCAAATACACAGGGACAAGATACATACTGACAAATGAAAATAAGCCTTGAATAAGCATCAGATTCCCAGATCTCCCTCATGGCATATAGAGAGGTGGGGGAGGTGGTCATTTCAAAAAAGCCTAAGATCACTTACATCACAGGCAACCCTTCCAGAAGGTGTGAAATCCAGCCTAGAATGCCACAGCCTTTACTGACAAGTGATTCATGGAGACAAAGGCTGGAGCTTCGGCATCAAAAAGATGTCAGACCAAACACCAAACGCCTGTAAATGATTGCTTTGCAAGCAGTGGAATGACTAGAAGACCTGATCTGATGCCTCCATGTCTGGACAGCTTACAGAAGACATGGGTTGGTGGGGGGGAGAGGGAGGGTGCCTCTCTTCAGACGGAGCTTGTGAAAAAGGCTGTTTCTGGAGAAAGAAGTAAAACCATGATCCTCACCTGAGATACTCCTGTGGAGATAAATGATTTCTGGCTAGTTTATGTATAGTATATGGAAAGGTCAGTCAGAAAAATGTGTGTCAAGGGCACCTGAAGGCCAGACTGGTATAGTGTGATATTAAATCATTAGACATATAAATAGAGTAAATTAAAAATGAGACGATTTGGTTGGAGCGGAAACTGCTCACCAAAAGGCAGAGACAGGAATGCAAACAATAAGTCTGGCTGTCATTCTCTATCATCTGGAGCAAGTCAGGCTTGGCTCTGGACCTTCTCCAGTTGTTTTACAACTTTCTAGTCATGGGGTGTTTCAACCCAACACTTTTATTAAGCTGCTTCAACAGGATTTTTCAGATGACACTTTGTCAAGAGCCAGCTTACCATGATATTTTTTTACAGGTTTTATCTCACAATTGGAACTTTTGGTTTTGATAATTTTAGGCTTTTGTTTTCTTCATGCATTTGGTATGTTTTTGCTGAACACCTGCTCTGTCCCTGGTGTTGTGTTAGATACAGCACTAAAGAGAGCAGTCTTGGTCCCTGTCTTTGAAGGACTTCCGTTCCTGTGGCATTTGGTTAAGTTGGGTTATTTTTGTGACTCTAGAGAATATTTTTCTATTTGGAGGGCATTTTTATAGTACAATTGTAATTTGAATCTCTTGATTTTAAAATATTTTTTCTTGGTCTGAATTTCTGATTTTCAGCCCTACTAGTGTCAAATTGTCTTTTAGTGCTTTATAGTTTCTTTTGAGACCATTAATAAAACTGGAAATCTAACACACACATATGTCAAAAAGGCTTTCCCTCTTTTTACTGTCTTTCTGAATAGAACTCTGTAAAACTAGCAACTTTTCTTCTGTTTTTCTACTATAACAACAAAGCATGTGCCTAGCACACAAATTGCCTCCAAAGTGCAAAACCAAACTCTGTCAATCGCCTACTTTTTTTTTTTTATTTTTATCTTTTCTATATTCACAGAGCTTTACCTTTTTCTGTAGAACAGTGTGGTCTCATGTTTCTGTCTGGTGATCTGATAAATGATCTATATTTGAAATGATGAATCTCCAAGAACATAATTCTTCTATGGTAGCAGTCTCTTGTGTTTTATTCTACCTAACAGTAAAAGATTATGGCATCTGGTCCTATCACTTCATGGCAAACAGAAGGGGGAAAAGTGGAAGCAATGACAGATTTTATTTTCTTGGATTCAAAAATCAAATCACTGAGGATGATGACTGAAGCCATGAAATTAAAAGATGCTTGCTCCTTGGAAGGAAATCTATGACAAACCTAGACAGCATATTAAAAAGCAGAGATCACTTTACCAACAAAGGTCTGTATAGTCAAAGCTATGGTTTTTCCGGTAGTCATGTGTGGACATGAGAGTTGGACCTGAAGAATTAATGCCTTCAAATTGTGGTGCTAGAGAAGACTCTTGAGAGTCCCTTGGACTGCAAGAAGATCAAACCAGTCAGTCCTAAAGGAAGTCAACCCTGAATATTCATTGGAAGGATTGATTTTAAGCTAAAGCTCCAATACTTTGGCCAGCTAGTGCGAAGAGCTGACTCATTGGAGAAGACCTTGATGCTAGGAAAGATTGAGGGCAGGAGGAGAAGGGGGAGACAGAGGATGAGATGATTGGATGGCATCACCAACTCAATGGACATGAGTTTGAACAAACTCCAGGAGACAGTGAAGGATAGGGAAGCCTGGCATGCTACAGTCCATGGGGTCACAAAGAGTTGGACACAACTTAGCGACTAAACAGCAACAGTAAGAGAGAGCATCTGTTAAAAAAAAAAATACATGTTTCAATGCTGTTCTCTCATATCATCCTACCCTCGCCTTCTCCCACAGAGTCCAAGTCTGTTCTATACATCTGTCTCTTTTTCTGTCTTGCATATAGGGTTATCGTTACCATCTTTCTAAATTCCATATATATGCGTTAGTATACTGTATTGGTGTTTATCTTTCTGGCTTACTTCACTCTGTATGATGGGATTAGGACATCATGTCAGTAATTCATTCCTAATGGACTTGGCAAGATAAAAGGTTCTTTGCATTTTTGTACTGCACTTGCCACTTTTCTATAAGTTTGAGAGAGAAGGAAGGAGGAAGGGAAGAGCGGGGGGAGGAGGCAAAAAAGCCCCATGATCTAAAATATAATGTGTTTAATTGAAAAAAAAGAAAAACCACACACACACACAATTCACATGCCCAGACAGAAGGAGTCACACATAAGCTATATGACCCACTGGATGTCCTACCCTAGTCAGAAGCAGTAAGTTTCAACTGAGTTTCAGAATGTTGGTTTGCTTCTCATTGATGATTAGAGACCTGAAGAGACCTTTTTAAAGCCACTACTTATTTCAAGATGGTACTTGGACAAAGTTGTTCCTTTAGCAGGAGTTAACATATTTTGGATTTAGAACACTTTTGCAAAGTCTATACCAACACCAGTTTTATCTCCCTGAACACCTAAAGTCCATACCATTCTTCCCTCACCAACCCCAAGCCCCATGATAGGTATGCCTCTCAGAGAACCATAAGGTCCTCTGGATAACCAGGTAGACTCACAAAAAAAGAGATCAAAACAGAATCCTTTCTCTTTGCATTCAAGTCATCCCATATTTTTAGGTAAAATAGAAAAATTCAGTAGTCACATAATCAATTAATTACAGTGTGTGGTTTCTACTTTAAGGTTCTCCCCCTAGTGAAATAATCAGTGTCTGCTAGCATTACAGAGAAACAACCAGGGATGAAGTCCTTTAAACACCTGTGAAGTATTCTAACCTCCAAAAATTGAACCAGAGTCTGATCAAACCTCTGGATTTAACTAACAATTTGCAGAAAATACAGGAACAAAGGAGTATGTTAAATCACACATGGTGACTTATTGCAGTGATTAGAATCCAAACTATTGGAAACTCAACTTGACATATGAGTTAGTTTATTAAACAGATGGCAGGAACAGAAAAAAGGAATAGAGGGAGGAAACGTGTAGAGTGAGTCTTAAGAGCTGTATCAAATAATTGCAGAGTATAGGCCCTTCTTGGATTCTGGATCAAACTATCAAAATGTAAAAGGATAAAATTTGAGACACTGAAGAAATTTAAATTTACTAAATATATCAGACTTATTAAATATGTCATGAATTAAGGGAGCATTGATTACTAGGATATTTTAGGTATAATAATGGAATTGTGGCTATGTATTTTTCAAAGGAGACCTTATTTACTAATGACATATACTTAATCTATTAGTGAGATATTCATGGATGAATTCTTAGGCTTGAGATTTATTTCAAAATAACAAAGTGTGCATAGAAGAACAGAAATACTGGAGGATATAGATGAAACAAGATTGGCCATAGGTGACAATTGTTGAAGCCAAATGATGAAAGTACATGATAATTTGCCTGCCTCTGAATGTAGAACTGATATTTTCCCCAAGAAAAAGTGTTTGACTAGTACAGCCACTATGGAGAACAGTGTGGAGATTCCTTAAAAAACTGGAAATAGAACTGCCATATGACCCAGCAATCCCACTCCTGGGCATACACACCGAGGAAACCAGATCTTAAAGACACAACCCCAGTGTTCATCGCAGCACTGTTTATAATAGCCAGAACATGGAAGCAACCTAGATGCCCATCAGCAGACGAATGGATAAGGAAGCTGTGGTACATATGCACCATGGAATATTACTCAGCCATTAAAAAGAATTCATTTGAATCAGTTCTAATGAGATGGATGAAACTGGAGCCCATCATACAGAGTGAGGTAAGCCAGAAAGATAAAGACCAATACAGTATACTAATGCATATATATGGAATTTAGAAAGATGGTAACGATACCCCCATATGCAGGACAGAAAAAGAGACACAGATGTATAGAACAGACTTTTGGACTCTATGGGAGAAGGCGAGGGTGGGATGTTCTGAGAGAATAGCATCGAAACAAGTATACTATCAAGTGTGAAACAGATCACCAGCCCAGGTTGGATGCATGAGACAAGTGCTTGGGGCTGGTGCACTGGGAAGACCCAGAGGGATGGGATGGGGAGGGAGGTGGGAGGGGGTTTCAGGATGGGGAACACATGTAAATCCATGGCTGATTCATGTCAATGTATGGCAAAAACCACTACAATACTGTAAAGTAATTAGCTTCCAACTAATAAAAATAAATGGAAAAAAAAAGAAAAAGTGTTTGAAGGAGAATAAGAAGGAAAAGAAAGTGAAGAGGGTGAGGAAAAAGCCACA